TATATTTATTACAACTGTTATTTTTATTACAACTGTTGTTATATTTAATATAACTTGTTATATTTATTATAACTGTTGTTATATTTATTACAACTGTTGTTATATTTATTACAACTGTTATATTTATTACAACTTGTTATATTTATTAGAACTGTTGTTTTATTTATTACAACCGTTGTTATTTTTTTTTCAACCTTTGTTATATTTATTATAACTGTTGTTATTTTTATTCCAACCGTTGTTATTTTTATTACAACTGTTGTTATTTTTATTACAACGGTTGTTATATTTATTACAACTGTTGTTATATTTATTATAACTGTTATATTTATTATAACTTGTTATTTTTATTACAACCGTTGTTATTTTTTTTACAACCGTTGTTATTTTTATTACAACTGTTGTTATTTTTTATTCAACTGTTGTTATATTTATTATAACTGTTGTTATATTTATTACAACCGTTGTTATTTTTATTACAACTGTTGTTATATTTATTATAACTGTTGTTATATTTATTACAACCGTTGTTATTTTTATTACAACCGTTGTTATTTTTTTACAACCGTTGTTATATTTATTATAACTGTTGTTGTTTTTATTACAACTGTTATTTTTATTACAACTGTAGTTATTTTTATTACAACTGTTATTTTTATTACAACTGTTGTTATATTTATTACAACCGTTGTTATTTTTATTACAACTGTTATTTTTATTACAACTGTTGTTATATTTATCATAACTGTTGTTATATTTATTACAACCGTTGTTATTTTTATTACAACTGTTGTTATATTTATTATAACTGTTATATTTATTACAACCGTTATTTTTTTACAACCGTTGTTATAGTTATTATAACTGTTGTTGTTTTTATTACAATTGTTGTTTTTTCATTACAACTTTAGTTATTTTTATTACAACTGTAGTTATTTTTATTACAACTGTTGTTATTTTTATTACAACTGTTGTTATATTTATTATAACTGTTGTTATATTTATTACAACCGTTGTTATTTTTATTACAACCGTTGTTATTTTTTTACAACCGTTGTTATATTTATTATAATGTTGTTGTTTTTATTACAACTGTTGTTATTTTTATTACAACTGTAGTTATTTTTATTACAACTGTTGTTATTTTTATTACAACTGTTGCTATATTTATTACAACTGTTGTTATATTTATTACAACTTGTTATATCTATTATAACTGTTGTTGTTTTTATTACAACTGTTGTTATTTTTATTA